AGCCTAAAGAGGAAAATGTTTATTTGACTTTTTAAAGTTAATCTTATAAAAATATGCCAAATGCAGCCATATTAAGTGAGAGTTTGAGAAGATAAGGCAATGAATGGAGGCCATTGTCTATATGATTTATAATAGCACCATAGAAATCTCCTTAACGCCTTTTCAATATTTTTTGTTAATATAGTTCTTAAAGGCATTAACTGCAAGTGTGTTGTAAAAAAGTGAATACCATCATTTCTTGGCTAATTTATAATTGGATGTTATATGTGGGCATGTAGGCACACACTCATTGTGGTTTGAAAAATTGATGGAACAATGAATGTGACCTCCAAATATTATGTCTTTTTGGTTTAGCGGTATTAACTTGTGCATGTATATGGTGTAACATTTTGCAGCTCAGTTCACGTGTTGTATCTTCTGCAATAGAGTGAAGTTGTGGTCACTATTTGGGTGAGAGTCCATACCTTGTTTGAGAAGTGTAAACTTAAATATTAATTTCCTTGCTTTCTCATTTTTCTCTTTAAAAACAGCTAATCATGAAAGTTAATGAATGTACACTTAAATTATATATATATATCCTCTTTACACCATTATTTCAAACTTGTTAGTGGTGAATATATTATTGTTTATCAAGTGCTTTCCAGCTCACTGGGCATCTTCTTTGTACTACACATGTATGCACTACTGGTATCTTTGTGAAGTATGGGGAGTGCATTGGCTGGAGTGAAATCCTGATCTATTGAAGTTAATACAGTTTGGCTGCTGACTTAAATGGGACCAGGTTTTCCTCTTTGGATCTTAATCCATCACATTGTTGTGCAGTTGGTGGACAGAAGGAAGGGTAAGGTTTGTTCTGTTACAAGCATGAATGGAAACTACTTGTAGTCAGATTCTTGTTTAAAATCTGTAATAAGCTGAGATAAATCTTAAAAGCTTTGCATGGCCTTTCCTTTACACTCAAGAGTTTTGGTTGAAAGTGGGATGAGAATGGGTGCATCTGAGGAGATATGGATTTAAGTGCAATACTTTATATCAAAATGAGGCAACTATCTTCATGCCCCACCAGTTTCGTCTTTTCCCTGTTTCTGAGCAGAACTAACTTGTTGACTGTGCAGCAGCTCTCTCTTCAATGCACCTATGAATTTCCTGTTCTGCTTATGCTTTATCTTGTGCTTTTATTCACAACCATGTACTTACACTCAGTGGAATCTTGACTTGATAGGTGTGGAGCCTAATTTATGGCAATGTTTGAATTCATTCTTTAATTGTTTAAACAAAATAACAATGCAGGTTTTACACATACTTTGTTATGGGGTTGTAACATTCTCATTCTGAGACCAGCCTCTGTTCATTTCATTGCTGATGAGTAGTTCATACATGTTGAACGTCTCTAGTACAGAACTCTCTGGTCCAGAAACATCCATCATCCAGAATGATTTCAGTTAGCTAGATATCCACTTTTCATGGCTGTGGCCAGGTTCCCACAGTCCCATAAAGTTTGTTTGCAGCCACCAGCCCTAGTTCTCAGTATTCTGTGCTATGCTTTAACTCTAATTTACCCCTAAATGTCCTTTAATAGTCCAGTAAGCAGTGTAAGTGTTGCTAATGCTGCTAGATAAGGTTGACCTCCCGTGGTGTGGAAAATTCTCTGGTTTGGAACCGATCTGGTCCCAAGGATGCCGGCCTAAAGGGTTTCAACCTGTACATATCTCTCAGCCACCATGGAACTAATCAAAGAAAAATAATCTGAGAAAAGTGTAGTTTAGGTAATAAACCCCCCAAACCAACTTCTAGTGACTAAATATAAACATTAAGATCTGATAAAAGTTTAAATGATCCCATCTCCAAAAGATTTTTCCATTTAATGTTTATGATAAATAGAATTTTATCAAAGAAAATGTGACTAATTACTCACTTTCGTGTCTGTTCCGGGAAAATCTCAGACTAAAACAAATTTGCACTCCAGTGGAATCCTACAAAACTGCAATGATATTGAAATTTTTCATACCCGCTGAAAGGGATATAGTTATTATCCTTACTCTTTATGTCAGTTTATTTCCTTCTAGGAAACCCTAAAATCTACAATCAAAATCAGGAGTTCTTTAAACTTTTCCTTCTACAAATCAAAACACAAGAGAGATGCCTTTCATGGGATATCCCTGCTCCCATTCTCCTCCTAGTATTGGTTGGTTTTCAAGTCATTTAATTCTACCGATCACTATGAAGAATTCCACAGGTGCAGGTACTTCTCCCATTGAAGTGAATGGATATATGCTCATTTAAGGATAAGAACGCCTTGTTCAAGTTAAAAATAACACTTCACTATTATATAACATTTTTTGTTGATAGACATCAAGGTGCTTTTCAGTGGAAACTAAAGTTCATTAAAGTTGGGGAAAATGAGTGGGGAAGTGACTGGCTCAGGATCATATGGGAGGTCACTGGCAGAGCCACTTGTAATGAATTTCTCCTCACAAGAGATTGGAATCTTTTCCCTCTTAGCAGGTAGCAACAGAGTAATCAATCTCTAATTTCAACGTTTAAGTTTATTTTTATATAAATGATTGGTGTGCTTTTGACCAACATTTAGGCATTTTTATGTGTCAGGTATCAGGACTAGAGAAGAGAATGAATGCCCTCTAAGGTACATCTACACTGCACAATTATTTCAGAATAAGCTTTTCCAGAATAGTTTTTCCAAAATAGCTTATTTCAAAATGGCACGTCTACACTGCAGGAAAGCCACAACATTAATCCGAGGCAGGCTTCCCTAATGTAGGCATGCTATCTCGATTTAGAGCCCCAGGAGGAATAACTTAGAATGGCCCTGGTGGGGGGTTATTCCGAAATAGCAGCAGTGGAGCATCTACTTACACCTTATTTCAAAATGGCTATTTTGGAATTGGCATTATTCTTTGTAGAATGAGGTTTATAGAAATCAGAATAAGCCATCTGTTATTTCAAAATAATTTGCTGTGTAGAAAATTGCTGTGTAGAGGCTCGCATAGTTATTTTGAAATAATGGCCATTATTCCAAAATAACTTTGTTATGTAGACGCACCCTGAGAGAGCCAAACAAACACATTTTCTTCACTAATAGTAAGTCAAGACTAGTTTTATTTAAATAAATAGTATGATTTGGTATGAAGAGCTGTATTTATTAAGCTGAAACTTTTTTTTTCTTTTTGGTTCTTACCATTAGGTGTTCGTTTAGAGTGCTGTTTCATTCTGTTGGGCTGACCTATTGTTGCTTGAAACAAATGAGATTCTCACCTTTGAACTACATCAGGAACAGGTTCTAAATGTAGCTAGATTCCAAAGATTAACATACAAGATACATGAGCAAGTTCTTGCTGACCTATACAGTACTTGCATTGTAATAGGTCATATTTCAGCTCCTATGTTTTTGATAAATAGCTTGGTGCTTAAAGCTCTGTCCAAGGTTCTGAAATCTCTTATGATGTATGAGCATGTCTAGCTGATAAATCCTGATGCCAGCCTGTGTGTGATAGTGATTCATCAGGTTTGCAAAATTTGTGTTTGGAGAAATATATTGAATTTATAAGGATCCAAATTTGGGATATTTTAAAATTAGTACTGACATGTTCTCATTTCTAGTTTTAAACATTTTTTCTGAAAATAACTTTTACATTGTCAGAAACAATTAGGATTTAATCAGAAAGTGTCAACTTTAACTTGAAAGCAAGTTATTCATTAGTAATAAAATGAGATGATTTTCCATATTAGAAATGCTTACAGGCCATCAACATTATGCAGCACACCAGGAATAAATAGAAATGTTAAATGTCTGTTTGCTAGTGAACACACACAAGAACATGAAAGCACTGGAGAATTTCAAAGATAGGGTTCTTACCTCAAAAATGCTATCAAATAATTCTAGAGAACTATTTATTTCAAGCGAGTTCAGAAAGATAAAATCTTTTATGTTACAATACTTTGAAAAATATTAAAGCATAGTAAAAACGAAGATGCTTTTTCTCCTATTTTTTTTCATATGCAAGATACTTTAACATTATTTTAATCATTTTCATTTCCCTAAATGTACTCTTTCCATACCCTCCAAGGGAAACTCCATTTTTTCCTTCTAATTTAATTCTCTGTATTTGTATACACAACCACTAACCTAGATTAAGATAGAAATTTTGCTGAGAGCATCTACATTTGTCCTCTACTAACTGCAGGTCAACACTACTTTAGCATGTCATACCTCTGTTTTGTACTACTTTTTTCCACTGAATCCAGGAATAGTCAGATTTACTCCATCCATATAAAAAATTAGAGTTTAAATTTAGAACCAGCAACATTGTCCATTTGCTATTTCAAGGCCCAGCCTTACTCCTAGTGAATTCAAGGAGAATTTTGCTATGAAGGTCAGTGTGAGTGGGATCAAACATTTTATTTTCAGTCTGTTATTTAAGTGTACATCATTCAGTTATTTGCATGTCACATCTTCAAAGCTGGAGAGATTAATGAAAGCCTTTATTGGTGGTGGTACCTGTTGTATCGGAAAATAATTGTGCAGACCCACAGACAGATCCTAAATGTCATCAAGATTGCTACATTCTCTTAAAATTGTGTGTTTTATGTGTACCAAGGAACATAACTTTTAGACAACATTAATCATTACATTGGCCTTTTTATTGCAGCCAAAGTATTGGATTTACATTATTTGAGTCTAATAATTAAATCCAATTCTCAGGCACCAAGCAAAAAAAAAAAAATCTAATTAGCTGACAGCAGTCACTCCCTATATGTTTGCTTCTCTTTGAGGCTGAAGAGTATGTATGTTGTTGTTTATTGCAGTTATACAGCCTAAGAAAACCCAGCAAAAATCCATGTGTAGTCAAACCTATATTTCAACTGGAAAATATATTAAAAGATTTATATAGAGAGAGGTTTTATCAGACATTAAAATGAATTTGTTTATTGTCAGAGACGAGTCCCAAGATTCTCTTTTTTAGAAACAAACAAGCCAAAGCTATTTTGATTTTAATCAAAAATGTATTTTTCCTCATAAAAAAAGTTTCACATACTCACTGTGTCTACTCTACAGAATTTGTCCATTTCATTACACCACGTGTCGATTCTAGCTTATCTGGTCACTGCAAAAACACGCTGCTAGTGTGTGTAATACAGCACAGGAGGAGGTATTGCTCAGTTCTACTACTCTTACTTAATTAAAAAAAATACAGAAAATGTTCTTGGCTACTTGCACTCTTTTCCAGACTGAAAAGTCACTTTAAAGTTCTAAAAAATGGAATAATTGTATTTGGTTGGCACAATACCCTTTGAAGTCAGTTAGTTAAAAATCTTTTTTATGCTGAGTCAGTACATATTCCCATTTCTCAACACCAGCAGCAACATCCAGACTTCTTATTTCTAAGAGTAATTTTTTTGCCTTTTTAGTTAGCACAATTGCAGTCTTGTGCATTTCCTGTCAGAAACTGTTTTATAATGTTGGTGTTTACGTTGTTGTTTCATGACATATTTGTCGGTACTCCTATCACAGTTGCTTTTACGTCCAGGGCTGTACTTTTCTCTTTGCCCGTGTCCCAGAGACTGATTAGAGGAGGATAAAGGTCATTGAGTGAAAAGGATTGTTTCTTCAAGTAATTCCTTAAATAGCTGTGTCCTGCATCACAGTTAATTTCTTGTGAGATGCAACTGTAGAGATATACCACACAGATAACTCCAAAGAGAACTCCAAGGCAAGCAAGGAATCCTATTATGTTGATCTTTTCATAATCTTTCACTGCAAGATCCAATCCTTTTGTGGTAACGTTGACACATTGCTTTTTATTGTGCTGGTAGATGGTGGGGACGTCTATACAAATTTTATATTCAGTTGATGGTTTTAGATGAGTAAGATTATAGACCTTTATATCAGATGGAATTCGTACACTCCAAGCAGCCTGAGAGTTTTCAGTCTTCTGAAAGGCAGTCCATCTAATGCTGGATTTCAGAATTTTAGAACTTGATTTCCAAGACACCAGAATAGAATTAGATTGCACCTCTTTTATTTTAATATTCAAAGATACATGGCTTTCTTGAGGGAAAGAACCATCCACTTTAATCATAACTGATTTTAAATCCGCTCCAACCAGGTTAGTTGCTATACATGTATATAGTCCGCTTTCTTTTTGTGTAACATCACTTATATCTAATGTTCCTTCAGAATGGACATAGTATTTATCAGTAAGCATACTAGGCAAAAGTTTGTGACCTGATGGTGTTATCCAATATATTTCAGGTTCTGGTTCTGCTGTTGCTCTGCAATGTAAAGAAACATAGCTGCCAGTTTCTAAATCCAGATTTGAGGGGAAACTGTCAGGTGCTATCAGTGGGAGGCAGATTTCCATCATTTCCCTAAAATGGACCTGCCTCACATTCTGGCCTTGAAATTCTGGAGGATCCACACAAAATAATGAATCTGGTTCCATAAATCTAATGTTGGTTTTATTCATGTTAATCCAGCGGATGACGCAATCACATCTGATTGGATTGCTGTGTATACTGATTTCCTTGAGGTTAGGCAAAGAGTCTATCGTATTACGGTACAGGGCACTAAGTGCATTACTATTGAGCATGAGTGATTCTAGCTTGGGAAGTTTATAGAAAGCATTTGGATGTATGTATGATAACCTGGGGTTATTAGTAGCTTCTATTTTTCTCAAATCTGGTAAATTGTCCACAGCAAGACTATCTATAGAAATTAGTTCAGGCATGTTGTTAATTCCCAATTCTTTTAGGTGCTGCATATTGCTAAAATCTCCTCTTCGTATTCTGTTAATGGGATTCTTATTTAGATCCAGAAATTTAAGATTTGTAACCTTTTGAAGAGCAACATGGGGAACTCTAACAAATCTATTGTCATAAAATGAGATACTTTCTAAATTGTCAAGGCCAACCAAAGCATTATCAGCTATTTCAGTGAGATTTATGCCTGCTAAAACCAGGCTGCGCAAATTGATAAGAGGCTTAAAGTTCATTTCTTCGATTCTGATGATCGGATTTTCTCCAATCATGAGAATCTCAAGGTTAGGAATAGCTTCAAACCACTTACTGTTAATCATCTGTAGGCTGTTTGAATTGAGATGAAGTCTGAGAAGATTATCAAGGCCTATAAAAGCTCCTGGTGCAATTGTGGAAAGCAAGTTGTGATTAATGTACAGTTCTTGTAAATTGTTCAGTCCAGACAGACATTCTTCAGGCAGCTCAGTAAGTTTGTTTTCCTCAAGGTACACCGAAAGAAGCTGTGGCATCTTTCTAAGATTAATATTGATCACTGAGGATAAATTGTTTTGAGATAAATCAAGACCAGTAAGGTTTACTGGGAAGTCTACTGAGTATTCAATTTTTGCAATGTTGTTAGTCTGTAGAAGTAGAACCTGTGTGTCAGCAGGCAATCTCATTGGGAAATTTACAAGACCTAAATCATTACAGTCAACTGTTGGAGCTTCCATGTATATGGATCTTGGGGTAAACCAAGGTCTGACCTCACATACACATGATTGAGGGCAGTCTACCTTTTTATTTACAGCTTGTACTAATGCAGTGATAGTTAGGCCAAGCAGAAAATGAATTTTGAGTGGCATGTCCTTCATCTTAGCTCAAGTCTTCAGAAAAGTAATGGTCCCTTAAGGATACCACAGTTGCTGTTTTTAACTTCAGTAAGAGGTGGTCATTTGATAAAACATATACTTGCATTTGTCAAATGATGAATGACAAAGAAGCACAAAGACTCTCTTCCTGAAAATAAGTGGTAACCTCGTAACCACCTTGTCCAATGATAACAGGCATGTTTTGGAAATGAAGATCACTGTCTCCTTGATGGCATAAAACTGGTAAGATTTGTGAAGATGAAGCATGTATAGATGGTCATAGAAGATAAAGTAATTCATTTATTTAGTAGTATTAACTTCAGATCCCATGATTGATTAGTGTTTGCGGGAATGACAGCATGACCTAAAATATAAGAAGAGGAAATAATTAGTATAAAAACCCCGATAAGGCTATAAAATAACTCAGTCATCTCTCTCTAATATTAGTTATTGCACATAAGAAAAAATGACTGTGGTTTCTAGAATATTGCAGTGGCATCTATGCAGCATAAATAAAGTTAATATAGTAATATGTCTTGTAGCATGTCATCCATCCACTAGGGTACTTAGATCTCCAGCAAACTGAAAATCCAAGAAATAAAAAACAAAATATATCACTGAGATTTTTCTACATATTTCAGGCTACTTTAGAATATTTTTTCTTTCCTACTGTTATCACTAAAAGCAGACTCTGCTATACTGGCTTTGAAAACTTAACCACTAACATAAATCTTGCAGAGTATGAATTTTTAGCCTCTGAATGCAGAGTTTATAAATATAAAGAACATAATTTATTTGTAATCAAAGAAAAAAGGAAGACTTGAATTAATACACACATAAAATGAGTGCACCCTGAAATATGCCTGTGAGATACTTGTACGCTAACATACAAAATTGATAAACCTTGTGTTTTATCTTTTCCTAATTCTTTTTAGAGCTGCTATTCAGGGAGCAAGCTTGAATTTTTAAAGATATCATTGGAGGGCAAAGTGCACCTTGTAATAAATTATTTGTCATATTGGAAATTCAGTCTAAATGCTGCCTGTCCTATTTTTACTTGAAAAATGTTACATTGCATTAGAATAACAAAGGATAAGTGCCTTTATTGTAGTTAGGATAAAGAAGCACACTTAGCTGATGATGCTTTTGACACAGAATCTGAGCTCCATTGTCTTCAGTGGGTATTGAGGGTTCTCACCACTTCTGAGAGGTGCTTAATATCTTGTATCATATTTTCAAAAAATACCC